TGCGGGGCGGCGGCGCCCGGCCCGCACCCGACCTCGGCCCCGCAGCCCCAGCCCCAGCCCCGTACCCGCCTGTCGTGTCAGGCGTCAGGCGCACAGCGTGCGGGGGCGGGGGCTTACACTAGCACGCGCGGGGCGTGGGCTTACACTAGCGTGCACAGAGGCTTAGATTTACACTAGCATGAACAGGGGTATAGTTTTACACTAGCACACGCAGGTGTGTAGGCTTACGCTAGCGTGAACAGGGGTGTCATCTTACATTAGCATGAGCAGGGGTATAAATTTACACTAGTGTGAACAGGGGTGCAGTTTTACGCTAGCATGAACAGGGGGTGTAGGTTTACACTGGTGTGAACAGGGGAATAGTTTTACACTAGCACACGCAGGTGTGTAGGCTTACACTAGCATGAGCAGAGGTGTAGGTTTACACTAGTGTGTAGGTCTGAGCACGGTGCTCACGTGCGCGTGCATTATGGCCATGCCTCACACCCTTGGTCGGAATTCAAACACCAGAGCTGTCCTCTTTTCCTGTTCCAGGGTTTGTCATGCATTTTGATCAGACTAACCTCCACTGCTGTCTCCCCTTCCCTACCGCACACCTTCCGCGAGATTCTTTATGTCATCATCATGCACGAACGCCACGGCATTCCACGTTGCTCACTCCGCACCGTTCTTTCTTGCTCTTCAGATCTTCCCAAACACACCGCTGGCTCTCCCAGCAGCTCCTTTCCCATCCCCTAACAATGCTGGCCAAAGCCAAGGCCGTGACTCCTGCAGCCCTGACCTCCTGAGGGCACTGTGCTGTGTCCTGGCCCTGCGTGACCCCGGGGTGGTTAGAACTCCACATCTGTCCCAGCTCCCTCCCTCCGGCGCTCTCCCCACACCCCCTACTTGGCAGCACCCTTTCAACACCCCAAGAACCTTCAGGTGAATTCCTGCAGGCCTGGAAGGGGAGCTGATACCATGTCTGTATCATCCCACCCTTCCCCTTAGAATCTAAGATGATGGAGCTCAGTACCTCCAAGTCCAGTGATTCCGAGGAGGACTTCATGGAGGAGGAGGAGGAGGAGGAGGATGAGGAAGAGGAGGAGGAGGAGGAGGAATCCGAGGAGGAGTGTGTGAGAGAGGAAGTGCTCATCCCTGCTAAACCTTTGCAACACACCGTCTCAAAGCCACTTAAGAATGGGGCTCACTTACCCAGGGTAGCCAAGAAAATTCCAAAGAAAACTGTAGCCGCGACTGAAGCCGAGGCTGGGAGGAGAAAGAGAAGGCGGAAACGCAGGTGCCCTGTCCCCTGGGGGCTTGGGTCCCGAGAGTCACCCCCACCCCCACCCCCACAGCATTTCCAAGGTGGGAGTCATTCACCTTCTGGTTTAAGAAAAACAAAATTCATGGCCGGGCGCTGGTGGCTCACGCCTGTAATCCTAGCTACTCAGGAGGCTGAGATCT